AACCCTGAACCCTAAACCCTAACTGGATCTCCAGATCTCAACGGACCCTCGGCCTCCGCCGGATCTATCTGGCGTTGGCGGAAGAAGGGGCCGTAGCACCTGCTTAAGGGTTTAGGGTTTAGGGTTTAGGGTTTAGGGTTTAGGGTTTAGGGTTTAGGGTTTAGGGTTTAGGGTAATGTAGGGGCTTTAATAATTAGAATAGGGTTTGGAGGTATATTATACTATAGTAAGGAACCCCCAAAATAGTTAGAATAGGGTTTTGAGGCTTTTTAGACTTTGATCATAATAAGGATCCCCCCAAGCCCTATTCTAATTATTACTCTACATTACCCAAAGAGCCCACTGCGCCGCAGAAGTAAAGAATGTGCTCGAACCCCGTGAGATACGTACCTTCAAACAGCCCTTTATATGGTGACGTTCAGGGTCTTAGGCTTTCGCAACTTAATACACCTCTCGATTTGTGCCTGTCATCCTCGCGCAAGGGCTATGCTAGTCTTTCCGGTATCGTTCCAACTCCATCCCAGCACACTGCAAGTCGCCAAAGGCACAGACGATTCTCGAATCTCAGGCCCAAAGACACCCTACGGCACGAGGCAGGGTTCAGTGTATATAATAGATCATGAAAAGTTTCACCTTAAACCCTGAACCCTGAACCCTGAGCCCTGAGCCCCGGCAACGGAAGCCGAAACCTGCAGACTTGCTCCCCAGGCACCGTTCTTGCAGAAATCGGTCCATGAAGAGAAACCCCTGGGAGTTCAACAGCTCGACCTGTGTCGCGCTTTAGGGCTCTTCTAGGGGGCTTGGGGTTTGGGATTTAGGGGTTAGGGTTTAGGGTTTACGACTTAGGGTTTAGGCCTCACGGGGGGCTGCCGGGTTTCTACCTTTCGGTTTGCATATCAACATATATACATATGTACATACATATATATATATATATATGCCCTAGGGGGTTTTGCTCTGACAGTGATACTGTGCTACAGATTCCTGTAAGCAGAGACCGTATCAGCCTGGGTTTGGGATTTAGAGTTTAGCTCCGTCTCAGCCTGGGTTTAGGTTTTAGGGTTTAGGGTTCAGGGTTTATCACCCTGGGTTTAGGTCTTGGGGTTTCTCAAAGGGCACTATAAGGGTTCCGTTTAAGGGTACTATAAGGTTCCTTTTAAGGGCACTATAAGGGGTTCCTGATACGGGCACTATAAGGGTTCCTCTTAAGGGTACCGTAAGGTTCCTCTAAGCGCACTATAAGGGTTCCGTTTAAGGGTACTATAAGGTTCCTGTTACGGGCACTATAAGGGTTCCTCTTAAGGGTACTATAAGGTTCCTCTAAGGGCACTATAAGGGTTCCTCTTAAGGGTACTATAAGGTTCCTTTTAAGGGCACTATAAGGGTTCCTCTTAAGGGTACTAACCCTCAACCCTAAACCCTAAACCCTAAACCCTAAACCCGAAACCCGAAACCCTAAACCCTCTCTTACCTATATATATTTAAACCTTAATTCGTTTGGACCAAAACAATGTCGTTTTACGAAGTTTAGGGCTAAATCTCGTTCCTAACGAAGTTTAGGGCTAAATCTCGTTCCTAACGAAGTTTAGAGCTAAATCTCGTTCCTAACGAA